TAGTTCCTCTTTTTGGAATGTTCTTTGCCAAGAAATCTGCTCTGTTAACTACTTGGCTTTCTTCAGGTCTTTGTTCAAACTTGACCTCAATGAGGCCTCCCTTGACAACCTTCTTGAACACTGCGACGTATGTATCCTGCCCCCATTCACCCCTTTACCTTTACCCTCCTGCACCTTCCTTTTACTCTATGCACTGATCATCTTTGACATATTAACATGATTTTTTTTTTTGCTTATGCCTTCCCCTACTAGAGGGTAAGCTCCAGCAGGGGAGGGGTTTTTGTCTGTTTGAAGTTCATGTGTCTCCCAAGCACCTAGAAGTGCTTTATGAATAATAGCTCCTCAATAAATATTTGCTAAATATTGAATCAACCTTCACAAGCAAAAGCACTACTTCGCTGGGTGAATCTGGGGAATGCTAATTCTAAAGGATGCACACTATGGACACAAAAAATGCCTGTGGTCAAATGGTGATGGAGGAGACTTGACTTGGGATGATGAATGATATAATATACAGACAATGTATTATAGAATTGTACACCTGAAACCTATATAATTTTATTAACCAATGTCACCCTAATAAATTCAATTTTAAAAAAAAGTAAAAAAGAATGCCTTGTGGTCAACTAAGCTTGATGGCCTTTTCTTGGAGATTGACAATTGACAGCACCTGCCAGTGTATTTTTGTGAAAACCTAAGTTTGCTTTACAGGATACCCTGAGAGAATTGACCTATAATGATAAAATAAAATGTTTAAAAATGAATAAAAGTTGCAGAAATGGCACATTAGGAGTACAGGAAAAGAACCAAGGCAATAGGGGCAAATACCTACTCTGGTCCTGTAAATGACAGACTGGACACTCAGCATGTAGGGCTGCCCAGCCTAATGTGTGGACTGAAAGCACACAGGCTCTGAACAACAAGCTGGGCCATGAGGACTTAAGTGAGAAAAGAAGACACCGCCATGAGATCTTTTGGCTACACTGATTGCCAGGGAACCATCGATCCATTTATTCTGAGATACTATTGTACTTAACACTATTCATTGGGCCAGGCTGCAGAACAGAGAGTAAAGAGCAAAGTAAGAATACAAGAGTTGAGGGAGATTCCAAGTGGTCTCCAAGACGAATGTAAGGTCTGGGGTAAAATGTTACTGCTGAAGGCTAAGATGACAGTGGCCTCAGCAACAATACCCATGGTGGGGAGGGGTGGAGGGTGGAAGGGGTGAGGGCCAAGCATCTCAGGATACCAAAGGCTCCAAGGGTATCAGGCTAGGCCTTACTGTGCTCATTTTTTTTTTTTTTTTTTTAACTGCAGCCAACCAGAAAATTCTGGCAGCATAAGTGTTTGCTATCTCTGTATTCTCAAATATTATCTTCCATCACACTTTATTGCATAGGACACTTCTTTGGCAAGAGTAACTACTTGGAACACAGCTAAAGAAACAGGAAGTAAGAAAAAACAAAGCCTCTGAATATCCAAGATAGCACAGAGTTTACTTACAATTGAAGTACTTCACTTAGGCACTCAGCCCTCAAAGCCTAGTGATTCTAAAACAATCTGTGGAGTCTCCCAGATCATAGGCAGACCAAAATAGCAGGCAAGGCAGTGACAACCAAAATATGAGAACAGAAGAGGAGACCGAAAACTAGAAAGTAGACACAGTCATTGAGAAAACTTAGGTTTTCAGGCGTAGTTTAGTCCAAGGACGAGCTCATGCCACCTTGGTGGACTCCAAGGCATCACTGTGTTCCAGGATGGTTCTTGTTACAATAATGCCCAACTCATCACTAAAAATTTAGTTATAATACTAACTCCATTTAAGTATGCAGCGATGCATTTTAGGAGGATTTACTTCCCCCAAAAAATCAAAGGTAAAAATAAAATGTTAGTTTGTAAAGGGTAAGCTTTAGCTAGGCAGTTAATATTTTTTGAGCAATTACTTTGTGACAGGTTTATTTCACATATAATCTTTCTTTCAGTCCTTATATCAGCCACAGGGATCATAATCCTTATTCCCATTTTGTAGTGGGAATTGAGGCTTGAGGAAATCACAAGACCAGTAAAAGGCAGTATTGGTTTTCAGATCCAGTTTTGTTTTGCTCTGAATGCTGGGTTCTATAGATTTTCATTATCTGTTCCTCTTCTAGGTTTTAGGCTCCAGCCCTGACCACCCAGAAGCTGTGCAAAATTGTATTTATAAATATTGTTCTGTATTTTTAGTTAATGGAGTTTTGTTAGCAAGCTTTATTTCAGTTATCAGTGGCTAATGCCTACTTTGCATTTCTCATAACTGGTTTCTTTCAGAGGCTGGTGTATTTTCTTGGATTCTTTTGTCTTTAGACATATCAGCATCTACCTGTTGTATGTACATAAGTTAGGCTGCTGAGCTGATTTGCATTGATTTATCTTGAAAGACTAACTGATAAAATGTTCGTAGGGAAGCATGCTATTACTCAGCAGTATTGGTTAAATTTGGTTGGTTTTCAGTTACATTTCTTCATTTTCTAGACATGTACAAATATAAAAACAATGTTTAACTATGATATCAACTTTAAAAAATGTTAGGCAGGTAGGCAGCAATGTAAGTTCCAAACAAACACAGACCGGTTGAGCTAGAACATTAAACAACTGAGTACTCACTGCAAAATCTATATTCCCTAAGGTCTTGTGGATAAGAAAAGCAAGAGTGATACCCATTGTGGGCCAATTCAGACCATTCAGGTCTCAAATGTTAAGCATGGAGTTTAATGTCCTATGCAGGTAACAATTTCTGCTGTTTTCCTGAAGGTGGACTCCTAGCATAATAAAAAGATCTCTGTATAATAAAAAGAAAAACAAAATAGCCAAATTTGAATCCTACTTTTGCTGTTTGCTAGCTGTGTAAGCTAGCTGCAAATGACCAGAAATTAATATTCTTATGCATAAAAATGGAGAGGATGGTGGCATAATAATAAAAATGATAACACTGCTCGTTCATCCCTATAGAGTTGTTGACAGGATCCAAGGGATGATATAAATAAATAAATAAATATACTCTGTGAATATACAGTATCATTGCATAAATATGTGCCTGTAGTATTATTAAAATGGCAATTCTTTTTTTACATATCATTGTTGATGGTTTAAATTTGAGTTTATGGTGATCATTTTTGGTTAAACCTAGACTGATTGTATCACTAGAATTTTATCTTCTTGAGGGGTTATGCCTTTGAAAACTTTGAGGACTGTTTTAATTCAGTTTTGCTGCTTGCATATCTATTTGGCTGGGCCTGGGCTGGCAGGTGACTGGTGTTGAGTTTCTATCAGTCCATAGTATCATGCTGCCTTCCTGAAACACACCAGCAGTGTGTTTCCAGGTCTCTTTGTCTGGCCTTTAATTTTAGACCAGTCATCGGGATGAGCACTGGGTCTTCTGGATGATGTCACGTTCTGAGCATGGTTTCATCTCCCAGAAGGGAGATTGAAAACCTGACTTTGATATCAAACCTTATTCTAGCAGATAGAAAACAGGCGAGAGAGAAGGCCTGTAGTATTATGCTGCCACCCCATTGGAACAGTAAATAGGACACCTGTCCACAGCAATGACAGGCTTGTGTCAGGTACATGGGTGGGCCTCTTGATAAGAGAGCAATGCTTTGTTTTAGAAGGGTCAAAGCGTCATAATGACTCAGAGCCCAGGCTCTGGAATCAGACAGATGTATTTTACTGAACCTCCCTAAATAAAACCAAATTCTTAAGCTCTACAAGCTCCAGTTTTCACATCTGTAAATAGAGATTATAATAGCTACCACATGGGTGATTGTCAGTGGTAAATGAAACGACTTTTATAAAGTTACATCTAACATTTGATAATTATTATTATGAATCTGCAATTGACAGGATGGAAACAGGGATAAAGGGGAAGAAAAAGAGAGTCCTGTGTTCATGGTATAGCTCTTATAAACCTTGGAATCATATCCTGTTCTCCAGGATCCTATTGAATTAATCTATTCGCTTGATAATGTGCCATCTAATAGTTCTTTTAATATTAATTGTACTAAAGTATCAGAACTTCTCTTATGTGGCAATTTATAGCTAAGTGTTGATTCAAAAACAACAACAGTGCTTTCAAGTTCCTTCTTCCACAAACACCTCACTTAAGCTGTTTATCTTGCTCAAGATAAAAGGAATATTGCTTCAATTTTAGTCAATTTCTAAAGTTGTGTGATATCTCATGAGCCTGTGTAGTCTAGTTAATTTTCAAGCGTGTGCGTGCGTGTGTGTGTGTGTGTGTGTGTGTGTGTGGTGAGATTGTCATCTGGTGGTGATGGTCTCCTATAAAATCTCCGTGGGGACAAGGAATGGCTGTAGGGACTGCTTTTGCTCCTCGACAGGAACGTGGGTTGAAAAACTCTGGCCTGGTCATTTAAGGGACCATGCAGTTTGTTGGTGATGAAACTCAAGAAAGAGGGAAGTCTGGGTCTGAGGCGATGGCTAGCAGCAAGGGGTCTCACTGGGCTCCAGCCACTGGCATATTAACCCTTTGCAGTAAGGACTGCGAGAGAGAAAGCTCGAAAGGAAAGCGGAGGAAGTCGTGGCGGGCGCTGGAACAGGGAAGGGGTTAGAGCGTAAATAGGGTGGGGCAGGGGGTTAGCTCCAGTGCACGGCGCCCTGCTGGGTGATCCCACCGAGGTCCTGTGGTTTGGCGGGGAGACAGGACAGCGAGCTGGGGAGGAGAGGCGCCTCCCGCCCCCCAGGCTGCCCGCCACCCCCGCCCGCTGGCAGCGCTTTTCCACTGTCGGCGGTCTGGGTCGGCCTGGGTCGGGCTGGGCTGGGCTGGGCCGGCCGGGCGGAGCTCGGGGCCCCGCTCTTCGTCCGTCCCCACTTTTCCTGCCTCCCTCCCTCCTCCAGGGCGTCCCGGCGCCGGACCAATGAGCGCCGAGAGGAGGGAGCGGGAAGCGGCGCGCTCGGCACGGCCCTCCCTCGGCGCCCTGGCCGCTGCGCCTACACTAAGTTTGCGCCCCGGGAGTTGGAGTCCGATCTTGTCCCTCGGCCTCGCTGCTAGGTCCCCTCGCGCCAGGCGGCCGCTCGCCCCTCGGGACGGCCACCCACGAGCACTCGGGCAGGAGGACGCCGAGGAGGGTGTTGCGTGCCGGGGCAGCGCCTCCCAAAGATGCGGGATGGCAGCCCAGTCGCCGTCCAGCCTCTCCTACCGCACCACGGGCTCCACCTGCCTGCACCCGCTCAGCCAGCTCCTGGGCATCCCGCTGGACCAGGTGAGTGCGGCGCGGGCGCAGGACTCCTCGGAGCCGAGCGGGCGTGGAGGCCACGGGAAATGTTATCTCCCTCTGTCCCCGCCCCCATAGCAGAGTGTACAGCTACAAACTGGACAGGTGGGCAGTTTTTCGAGTTTGTTTTCCTCCCGTAAGTGTGAAAAACATTGAGAGACCCTGCACGGCAGGTTGCAAAGAACTTTTTTTTTTTTTTTTTTAATGTAAAGTTTTGAGTTGCTTTGTTTCCTGTTCTAAAGTCTTCTGATAGATGACTCAGTTGTTTCTCCCATCAGTGGGATCAAGTCATTATTTTTAATGTCGATAACCCCGCATAAAAATACACCTGCTCTTGAATGAGAGACCGGGGTTTTAAACTTAAGCAGTGAGACTTGTCAAATCAGGATGACAATTATTTTGTACTTCGTGTTGATGTCCATCGGAAAGGGAGGAGGGACGCAGGACACTTTTCCCAGGGCTAAGGTTCCAGGCTCCGGAGTAGGGCAGGTTAGAGGGAGAAGAGGGGCGCCTTTGAAGTTATTTGGACTGTCCCGTATTGTCTGCTACTATTGAAATGGAAAATGACAATAGACAACAGCAATTCCTGTTAAGAAATCTTCCCTCGAGTTGTGACTGTCTTACTCATTTTCACCACGTCTGCTTTAGGTGCTGCAGGCTAGATCCACCTCGTGTTTAGTACTGATTCAACAACTATGTGTTGATTTACGTGGAACTGGGTGGGGCCGCCGGGGGAGGGGCCACTGCACTCCTGCCTGTTTTGTTACATGCTGAGTTTTGCCCAGGTTCCTTCTTCTGCCTCTCACTAGTAATCTTTTTTCTTCAAGCAAGAGCACACCTGCTGCCCTTTCCACTCACAGTCTTTCAGCAAGGAGGAAGCGAGAGCTGGCCGGTAGCCTTACTCAGCTACTTTTTCTTGAGCCACCCTTCTTCAGAGTTCCCTGTGGGGATCTGATTCAGAACTCCACCAGGTCTCACCACTGCCTTCTTACCACTTGCAGAATCCAGAACTTGGGAGAGGTAGCAAATCCTAACTCGTGCTTTTGTAAATTACTCTTCCTTGTGTTGTGAGGCTGGGAGAGACCCAGGGACCTAGGCAAAGGCAGAAATAACAGCAGTCTTTAGCCCTGAAATAAATCTAACTCCTAGCCGAATTTCCTGAAGGGGAGTTTGTTTTGTACTTACCCCGCATCCCCCATCAGAATTTATTTTAATTGCATTTTCTGTTTTAAGCTATTCTGCACAGCTAGAGAGAGGAATCCAGTGAAACCCTGTGTATGGAAAAAGACAGTTAATGGAACCTGGAGAGTTATGACTGGGAGGTGCTGGTATGAGGCTATTAAATGCTTTTTAACTGCATTCACCCTCCCATCTCTAAATATCCTGGGTTTCTGTAAAGGAACCCTGTTTTTAATTTATAAAAAAGAATAAAAGAGCCCTGGCTGGTTTGGCTTAGTGGTTAGAGCATCGGCCCTTGGACCAAAGAGTCTTGGGTTCGATTCTGGTCAAGGGCACATAGCTCTGTTGCGATTGGTCCCTGGCCCCGGTCAAGTTGTGCGGGAGGCAACCAATGGATGTCTCTCTCACAACGATGTTTCTCTCTCCCTCTCTCCCTCCTTCTCCCTCCCTGCCCTTCCCCCCCCCTCTATCTGAAGCCTGAAGATATCCTCAGGTGAGGATTAAAAAAAAAAAAAGAATAAAAGAGCCTTATGATGTTTAAGAATTTCTGGGATGAACTGAAGGAAGAATGTGGGTGATGGGTAAGGAAGGAACACCTGTGATCTCTTAGCTTTAGGAGAGCCCCTCCCTCTGCCCTCCAGCAGGGTCAAATCTGGGTGACTCTTGGTGGAAGAAGCACTTCTAGGGCAATGCCCCAGCTAGCTTATTTTAGACCCAGGGGAAAAATTCCAAACCACAAATAATGTGATTTGAGGCTATATCCTGGCTTGACACTTTGCAAGTTTGATGTTTTTTTCTCCCTCACACATTCATGGGTTTTTTTGCAATCTTAGATGTCGGACTGGCCTAGTGCAATTCCTGCTCTGCCAGCAAACTTTCTGTGTGACCATGGTTGGTACTGTATTGTCCCAGAGCCTCAGTGTCCTCATGTGTAAAACGGGATTAGAGATGGCATTAAGACCTACATTTTGGAGTTGAAAAAGTTTATATAGATATAAAATTCCCTACATCAGGAAGGTCCTTGTATCATGCACGGTCCTGGCAGGAAACAAAATTCAATTCAGTGGATTGCAATGAAGAAATTTGAATGAACCACCGAGAGGGGTGTGGGCAGCATTAAGGGAAATGGCAAATGATGGTCAGGTACCAAGACCTAGGAGCTGAAGAGGAAGGGGAAGGAAGTCCTGTTGCTGCTGCCCCATGAGAGCTGCACCCAACCCCTGCCAGGATGGGGTGGGGGAGCCCTCCCCACCCCCAGCCCTTCCATTTCTTGCCAGTGCCCTCCAGTGGTCAGACCCCACCCAAAGATGGCAGATCTAAGGTGCCTGGGTCAGCAGGGGCTCCTCTCAGGCACAGAATGGGGCAGAGAGAGGGAGAGCCAGATCTGGAGGGCTGTCCAAGAGCATAGTCCTTGACAACTGTTTGCTCCAGTCGCATTAAAGAGTGACTTTTTATTGTCCTACACTATGCTAAAAACGGTAAAACATATACCTCAAGTTACCCAAATTGCCACTTAAAAGACACTGAATTTTTTTCCCAAATGTATGTAACATTTCACATACATTCATAATTTCTGGAGTGAATGCACTTCTGAGAACTTCTTTGGCTTCTGGGTGTCCCTGTGTCAAGTAGTTTATTTGCAAACACGGAAATATCTGTTCAGCATTCTGCAATGAGTGGAAATGCTTTTATTTTCTTCTGACTCTTCCATTTACCTGTTCTCTTTACTCCTGGGGGAAGCCTGTGTGCACTTGTGACCATACTGAGGGAAAAAAATCTGATTTTTATTTCCAGGGACTTTTATTAGTCTGACATCCTCTTAAAGATGTTAAATGTAAAGTCAACTTATTAAATTAGAAACAAGTAGAGCACAGCAATTCAGAGCACAGGAAATGGGTGATGACGTAGGGGCCTCACGGTGCCTGGAGGATGAGTTTGTTGAGGGCTGCATTTCTAAATAGCGAGTCCCTGTGTGTCCAGCAAACATGGAAACGAGTCCCTGTGTGTCCAGCAAACACGGAGCTCTGGCAGTCAGTAGGATCATTCAGATATGAAGCTTCACTTACCCAAGATAAGTCAGGGAAGAACTTTTCTTTCCCACTTAGAGGGAATCAAGGAATGGAGGATGAGTGTTTTGTTTTATTTCTTGTTTAAATCATCGGCTCACGTTCTGTCCACTTTGTTTTGGTTGCGGAGCGTGACATGAACTGACTTTAAAGCCTTCTAAGTTTGCTAGCTTGACTCAGCTACCGGGATGGACGTGAGATTGACCTTGTTAATTTGTGTGGTGCATGGTCATATCGGAGGAGCTGTGAAAGCTGAGAAACTGTTTCCTGGTTTTAAGGAATTTCCACTTTGGTGGGGGGACGGATGTCGGTGCCAAGGCTATTTTTACTGACTGGCACCCCCCAAATTTGTGTTTGCATAAAGTATCAATTCAGTGTTAAATTAGGATTCATTGGGTTTGTTTGTCTGTTTAACCCTCCCTCCCTTTTTTCTTTCCTTTCTTCCTTCTTCCTAATTTAATCAGCAAAAAAAAAAAAAAAAAAAGGGGGGAGGGAAAATAGACCAGGACATAAGTATCCAAGAAATGATATTGAGATTAAAGCACCAGAAGTTTAGGACTAGTAATATGGAGGGAGCTTGTGTTATAGTTTGAAAGGCTGGAAGAAGGCCAGTTCTGAACACCTGGCACTCTGGGCTGGTGGTGATACCAGCAGGGGGTTGATTATTTCCCGGGTGGGTGGAGGGGAGGGCTGTGACCACAAGGTGTCTTTACCTGCTTGCACCTTTTAATCTCTGCCTGGTTCCCTTGCTCATTCTTGGAAAGCTCAACCCTCAATTCTTTTCTTATCTAAGCCTTGCCCTTCCTTAAAAGCTCAACTCACATTCCACAGTCATTATTAAATCAATTAAATATTTACTTAATGCTATTAGCGCAGGTACCTGGCCAGGCTGTAGAATCCAAGGTTGAAAAAAAGCAAGGTCTCCCTGTCTGGAAGAGCTGTACACCAGCAGAGGAGACAAAGGACCCACGTGAGTATACAAGCGCAGTATACTCCCAGACCTGTGCAGGTGCTGAGAGCGGTTTGTAGATGGAACGGAGAAGGGAACGCCCTAGAACACATAGAACACCTGTAGAACCTACTGTTTACCTTTGACATTTAATTAATGTTACCTTATATTGTGAGTTATTTTGTGGTGTTTATATGTAGAATTTCAAACTAATTTAAAGTCTCTTTGAGGTGAAGGTTTTATCCCTACTATTCAAAGGAAATAGTAGGTGCTCAATAAATGTTTATCATTAGTAATAATATATGCCAATGCTGCTGATATCCGCTATCAAACTTCATTCTGTAGAGCCTTGTTTTTAAAGTGGACAGCAGATTGGCCTTTGTGAGAGGAAGCGTCCTGCACCTCACCTCCCCCCTCCCCAAACGACACTGCCTCTAGGCTATAGCCTTGGGGTTCTGACTTCACCCAGGGGTTTCTGTCCACTCCAGCTCAGGGTGTATGTGGCTGGCACAGAAGTCTCTCTAGCAGAGAGCCCCTTTATTTTTCTTTTCTGGGCTCCATGGTTCTTGCAAAGTCAGATCTCCTCTTCCCTCTTAATTTCCTCTTCACTGTCTGATAACAAAGATGATTCGCCTATGGGAGGAAAATAATTCCGTTAAGCCACAAACAACAGGTATTAAGTTTCTACTGTGTTCCAGGAATTCCCGGAGCTCTGCTAGGCTGTGATGATTCAAATATGAATCAAATCGTGCCCATCCTCAAAAAACGTGTTATTGGGTCAGGGACACATACAT